CAAGACACCCTTTCAGGACAAGCGGCTGTGTGACCCGGACTGTGTTGCCATCGATCTGACAGAGAAAGGTGAGGCAGCCATCACAACTCTTTTAAATTGGGCACAGCTTGCTGAGACAATGAAACCATCAGAAAGAGTAAGAATGCACTGCCTCACAAAAGACACATCAGAAGCTCTTTCTTGGACGTGCAGATGCCTTGCTGCCCTGAGCAAATACCTACTGCAAACGCACGAACCATACAGACATCAGTTTGTCTGTCTAGGCTTCTTCCAACAGGATGACTTAGACAGGCATTTTGGACATTTCAGACGATCTGCGGGTTGTAATTACTTTTTGACAGTCTAGGAAGTGATGCACACACATACCATTGATAAAGCAAGGATTTTGCTTAAGACAGAGGTTGCACTGGACTATAGCATCAGTCATCATGAATGTGACCTGTGTGAGAAGGACCTTGCAGACAGTGACCTGCTACTCATTGACGATATGGTAGAGGGAAACATCTCAGTGACTGCTGATGAAAAGCTGGCGATTTTTCACATTGCTGGCTACATTGCTTTCAAACACCGTGAGCTTGCCGGCAACCCCTCAGACAGTACACCAGATGTCAGAGCATATCTTGAGGAAATCAACCGTGGTGGTCTGACCTATCCATCGGACAAACTGTTCACACTGACTACTCTGGCCTACCATTATCTTAGAAAGACAACCGAGCCACTGTGCAGAAACAAACTCATTAGAGTCTTAACTGACTTCCCAGAATTATTTCAACTGGAGTTGGAAATTTCTCGACAAGCTTTCAAAAGGATGACCAACATTCTTATGAAGCGATATTGCTACAACCTTAATGATGAGGAAAGTTCACAGCAGCGTCGAAAGGTTGCAAAACTGTCATCAACATCAGCATAGAAACAGGTAAGGGAAACATGTCGTGTGTGTCATTATCTGTCAATTTGTCTCTTTTTGATTACTAGAAACCCTGTTGCTTTAATCTGTCTGTCTGTCTATCCATCCGTTTTCTCTGTATGTATGTGTCTTTGGATGTGATGCCCATGTTTGTCTGTCGGCGTGGGTGGTTGGCGGGTGCTCTGATATGGTTTGCTCCTTCTTTCTGACCCTGCTGTCGGTCTTTTGTACTCATTTCTTCACTCTCTTGTGAATCAATTTCCTCCTGGCGCTGAAATGACCTTATTGTTTTTAAAGTGCCGTAAAACTCTAACTCAAGTCAACTTTCTGTCCTTTCCATCGTTTTTGTCTGTCTAGAATAATTCTTTACATGTCCGTTAGTTTGAACACAAACACAGGGAAGCTAAACCATTGAGAGAGAGAGAGAGAGAGAGAGAGAGAGAGAGAGAGAGAGAGAGAGAGAGAGAGAGAGAGAAAGAGAGAGAGAGAGAGAGAGAGAGAGAGAGAGAGAAAGAGAGAGAGAGAGAGAGAGAGAGAGAGAGAGGGGGGGGGGGAGATTGAGAGGCAGAGAGAGATAAGGCGAGAGGGAGAAAGAGACCGCCAGCCGCGGCCGTTGTAATCATTATTATCATTACGAAGGTCACTGCTTGATGTGGGCCGAAGCCTGAGCGGCCGGCATGTCAGCCCACAAGCAAGGTGTGTAGTTCTTGGGCTGCGCTGCCTGATTATATGACCGCCTAGCCCCCACCCCACCCCACCCTTTGGGGCTTTCTGTCTGCTTGCGCACATCACACATTCCCTCCATCCATCACATTGCTGTGACCTCTCCATCTCCGCATCGGAGAAGTGAGAGGCATGGTAGGCGTTGATAACTAAATAGGCTTACGCTGGCCTATCACGCGATGCGTTCTGCTTGTCTGCGCATGCCTCCCTACTCAGTCGCTCCGGCCTTCATTGGCTCTCCTATTCTTTGTTTCTCAAGATCACGAACAAGTTTCTCAAATGACAAGGTTTTGCAATGGCCTATGCACTGAGCACAGCAGCAGCAATATTCCGCTATAACTGACTCGCATGTTTGATAGCGCTATAGCAGTATTTTATTTACAAAGATAAAGAGGAGAAAAAAACGGGGTTTTAGAATAGTTTCTTTATAACAAACTTCTCGTTTTTTCCGGACTCCTTTTAAGTGGACTCCACTGTATATCAAAAGAAAAACTTCCACATGAACTTAAATCCAACGCAATAAGGCACAAAAGTTCCCATTTGATCTAATGATAATCTCACATGTCTACCAACCTTGGCAGAGAGGTTTCCGTCCTCGTTGATTCTTGACCTCAGGTCGGGGCCGCCTGTCCTCTTGAGCTTCACGCTCCTCAGAGCCTCAACAGTGATCTCAGGCAACAGAGTCCCGCCGACCGCCTGCGACAGAAAAATGAAAAATGATCAATTGATGAGGACCCGACAGACATGTGGCGTATCGTCCATGGCACGGGAGGTGTGCAGCAGACTTGTTTATTTTCGTTTGAGCCAACTGACAAGCTAGACACAGACTTGGAAAAATAGATGACAGGTGACAGGAAAAGAACAGGATAATAATAATACAGTTTAGTGATTTTATCTTTTTAACGGTATCCAATGACTCAGATTCAGAAAAACTTTAAAATCTTTGAGCGTTAGAAATCAGTGACCACTGAAGTGTGCAAAAGAACCCCTGCCCCCCCCAAAAAAACAACAACAAACAAACAAACCAAAAACCAAAAAATATACCAAAACAGAAGAAAAGATCTATCAAAACTTACAAACAGGTGATGTGAATAGACAAGGGCAATATGTTTTTTCAAGAGCATCCCGCAGAAAAACCGGTGCTGGCTTTTTTTTTTTTAATGTAGTTGCTTTTATACCCCCATTGACACAATTCAGATTATTTAAGAGGTGGGCTTTTGACCCTGCCAGTCGGGCCCAACCCAGCCTGAGAGGGATACATCTCAGCAGAAAGATGAAGGTACTTTATAAAAATGTTCTCCCCACTTGAGAATCGATCTCAGATCTCCTGCATGCAACAGCTAAGCACCAAACTATTACACCACAGACAGGTCCAATATCTGTTGCAGATCCGTCACTTGAAGAGAAAAAAAATATTGGCAACAAGCCATAATAACCATTCTACGTGAAATGACCAAAAAACAAAAATGACTTTCACTCACCCTCATTTTCTTCATGACCTGATCCTTTGTCTGAACATCTGTCTTCAATCTTCGAATCACAGGCATAAAATAGGGTGGGGGTGGGGGTGGGGGAGGAGGAGGAGGAGGAGGAGGAGGAGGAGGTGGGGCTGGTGCAGCCGCGCTGGATACGAGCATATCAGGAGGGGCATACTCTTTGCCTCTTGCCTTCTCGCTGACAAAAGACGAAACCTCGGACACCGCTGGCCCGTGAGAATGAGCCTCAGAGTCCGACTTGGAGCTGCTCAACAACCTGAACATGAAATGGAGAAAAGAAAAGATGTCAGTACACAATTGTCTTTGGATAAGATCCACCACTTACAATCTCGGTTCACTTATGATCCCGCTGTTTCAAGAAAGCAAAATTATAACTACACAAAAGTCAACACTAAAATACTTCTCTGAAGTACCACATTGGCCCACGATCCCGCACTTACCTTGCTCCGAAGCACAGGGATCTGTGGCAGAGACTACTGTATACCACTTTCTTCATTTCCTTTTGTTCTTGTAGTAGTCATTGGGGAAATATGTTGTCACAAATCCAAATGACAGAAAGCAACTAGAAAGTTGTTACAAAGCCCAATAAGGGATGCCCAACGTTATAACATCATATTATGTTAGAAAGAGCAAAATTCCATCAAGTGGGACTGGTTTTGGTACAGTGTAAGAGACAAGGCTTTAAAATTACCAATAGTCGAATCATGGACAGTCCTTGAAAATTCTGG